ATTCTGGAGACAGCAGCATCGACCATTTTCTGTAAGACTTTTGCTTAATTCTTTTCTGTTTTTATTTGGGGCTTTCATAATCTTTTTTACGTTTCTGGAATTGTGATCTGTAATATCTATAATCCATTGAACGAGATAGAGCCATGTACATTCAGTTTTGGACAGATCTTAGCCAAATGTTTAACTACTCATAGTTTTTTAATAAACAGTTTTTAATAAACAATTAGATCTCTTATTACATCTACGTGATGATACCTCCCAGAGTGACCAAAAACATATATTTTCTACTTATAATTGATATCAATATTTTTAACATTAATAGCGTCATATTGTGTGACAAAAATGGCTGGATATGATAAACATGCATTAGTAAAGTCGGTACAAATTGAGAAAAACAGCACGGCATTGGTAAACTTCTAACTTGATTTGGATACATGGGACAGTCTAAAATTTTTTATATGTTGATTTTGGATTTTTCCCTGGACAACAAAAATGTTTTGTAGATATATTTATGTTTATTACGAATATATATGAGTTTGAAAGAGTCGTGTCATCAGATTAAATGAACTATATCACGTAAAATCATTTCTGCACAGTTTTAAAGAATTGTGTGGGAATCCTACTCTCTTAGAGATTTAATCACTTTTTATACTCCTTTGTTTCTTACTGTAAATGATGGGTTTTGTAAATAAAAATCTAAAAATTAATTCGAATCTGTAGCTGTGCACCCCAGCAGTGAGTACTTTCAATTGTAAATATAACAAGTAATATAAAAAAAATTAACTCAACTTCTACATTAATTTTAATTAATTATAACTAAATTATCGTATTTTACCCAAAACAATAGTGCATAGAAAATTTCAGCTCAAATGAGCGCTTTAAAATGTGAGAAAAACACATTTTCAAGTTTTGACACAAGTCGCCAAAATAGTCGCCAAGTCACCAGAAATGATGCCAACGTGGCTGTATTTGTAATTCTTTAAATAATTAATTTTAATCAATTAATTTTTATTGATTATAATTAAATTACTGTATTGTCATGCAAAATAATCATGTATATAAAATTTCAGTTCAATTGAACGCTTTAAAATGTATTTTATTAACGATTGAAAATTCCACCAAGATAAATAAATAAATATATAGAGAGTGTGAGCTAATAGTAGGAATTGAAAATTAAATATTGCTTAGAATGATTTCTATCGTGTATATGAATTATCAAAAAGTAGTTTTTGAAGCATGAGTTTCAGGTAAGTGTGGGTGGGGACTTCTAGGTCATTTCTTCAGATATATTAGTTACTCAAGCAAAGTAATGTGTAGTTTAATTTTTTGTCTTGCTGTGTTGATCCCAATGCATATTAATAATACCATTTTATGGCTTAGTGAAAGAAATATCCTCCTTTTTTTAATATTATTTAAATTGCTTGATTTATTCGTTGCATTGATTGGAAGCTCTGTGGAGAGCCATCTTAATAAAAAAATTGATTTTGCCTTTGTTAGTAGGTGCCTATCCTGTCTGAAACTCTTATCTATATTATTTAATAACATTGTTTCTTAAATTCTGATATGAATATCTTTTCTAAAATACTTTAGAGTATTTTGATGTTGGTATGCTTATCCTGCCAGGCAAATAAAACATTTTTAATCAATATTAAAAAGTGACAAATGTGTGTGTGAATCTGCATTCCATTAACAGTTAGAATGTTTCAATTTTTATATTATGCGCATTGCTATTTCTTTATCACTTATTCTTATTACTTTTTTTATATATCGTAATACAGCGTTTCTCAAACAATGGGGCGCGCCCCCCTAAGGGGGCGTGATAACTCTGTAAGGAGGGCGCGAGCACATTGAAAAGTCGTAAACAAAAAATTATTTTTAAAAAATATATTAATTTACTGAAAGTAAACAATCAAAATACATTCTGACATAATAAAAAATAAAATACACACTTTTACACCTAGACAATAAACTTATAAATGTATCAGTACTACATTGATTAATTTAACAATGCTATGAAAACAAGTTTAATAATTACCATTGATCTCAAGGGCTTATCATATATAAATTTATGCACAAAAAGTAACACTTATTTTGATAGTTTGTACGGTTTATATTTATCCATTAACTTCTGATAAAAAGTTACTGGATTCGTTCGCCAATGCCACGGTTTTCTACGTATGTCATGTATTAAGGGGGCGGGAGAGAAAAGGAATAAATAAGCAAATCCTCTGAAATAAGCAAATCTTTCAAAAATATTATCAAGATCCTTTTATTGTAATCCAAAGCCTTTGGAATAATTTTATGGATAGCAATGCACAGAAGAGACCATACTTCGGAGAGACGTATATATACGTTCGGGCTGCTCGAGACGTTTATATACGTCGGTGGCACTTTTGAGTTTAAAATCGCATAGTAGATTTAGCGTCGAAGTTAGTATTCTTGAATTCAATACATTGTTATTGTAAGGAAGGAGGGCCCGATGAAAATTATGATTGAATATTGGATCACAAATGCGGAAAGTTTGAGAAGCACTGTCGTAATACATCAATAAGAGGAAAACATGGTTTCATGTATTAAAGAAAAACATATTATTGTTAGTAGTAATAGCGATGAATATTAGTCATGCAGTAAATAAAGATTGAAAAGTCAGTGTTGGAATAGGTATCTTGAAGATTTTAGTGATATATTGTTATATTTAAATGAAAAAATCCTACGTTGTGACAAATAATCCCTAAAAGATAAAAATTCAAAGGAAATATTCACAAGTATAACGCAATGAAATGCAATTAAATTCAAATATTTTTTAACAATTCAAATTCTTCTTGTTCAGTTTGCTAAAGTATAAACAAAATATTATTACTATAAAGTCAAAGTTGTTTTTTTTAATAAAATTTGTGAGACATTCGATTATTATTTATTATTTACTTCTGTATTAAAACATATATTAATACAAAACACATATTGAATGTTTTAACGCGTTATTTAAATAAAGGAAAATAATTGATAATATAATCATAATCTAACATTTAATAAAGTAAAAATATATGAAAAGAATATAAATTGGAAAAAGGAATATGAATGCTTTTCATGTGATAAGAAAATTTTTTAAGAAAGAATAAATGAAGTTTTAAAAAAATTTTCTTATTATAATTTAAGGAAGTTTAAATTCAATTCTAATTCGTAAAATATATTCTTATAAGAAGGGCTTATTTTATTCAAAAATATTTTTTTCTGTTTTAAATTTATGACTATTTGAAATATAACCTATATTTTATCTATAATTATATTAGTAAGGAATAACAACAAAACAGTTTTCACAGAGCAGCCATATCAAAGATTGATTTAAGATTATTCAAATATAAACAGATTTTAATGAGATTCAATGTAAAAAGTAGTTAGCAATTGAAAGAAATAACCTCGAACTTTTTATTAGAGAACATCGTGAGAAAAAAGATATGAATATTGTCGCGTATTGGTAGCGTTTTCACAGCTTAGATATCAGACCTTATTTCAGTTTTTAAATATTTATTATCATGAGACGCTACGACACACACAAACAATTAAATATTCATTAAAAAATTTCTATTTTGTAGATTTGTACCCGATTCCGGGGCTCCCCAATCAGTCAAAATTATTTACAGATTGATTGAATTCCCCATCAGTTAGGGAAGGTTGACACAAATTTCCCTTTTGGGGATTATTCAATTCCTGCACACTATTAGCTCAAACTCTCTATATATTTATTTATTTATCTTGGTGGGGAATTTTCAATCGTTCATAAAATACATTTTAAAGCGCTCAATTGAGCTGAAATTTTATATACATGATATTATTTTGGATGACAATACAATAATTTAATTATAATTAATAAAAATTAATTGATTAAAACTAATTATTTAAAGAATTACAAATATACACACAGCCACTTTGGAGACTTAGCGACAAATTTGGCGGTTTTTGTCAAAACTTGAAAAGGTTTTTTCTCACGTTTTAAAGCATTCAGTTGAACTGAAATTTTATATACACGATTGTTTTGGATGACAATGCGATACTTTAATGATAATTAATAAAAATTAATTACCACTTAATGCTGTGATTCTGTCATATGTTTTAACATATTTATAGTAATTGTAACTATTTAATAAAAAGTAGCTAAAATAAAATTTTTCTTTGTTGATCTAAGTAGAAATTGACTTAAATTTTTTATATTACTTGTTAAATATTTATTATCACGAGACGTTACGCACACACAAACAATTAAATATTCATTAAAAAATTTCTATTTTGTAGGTAGGCCCCCCACCGATTCCTGGGTTCCACAATCGGTCAAAATTATTTACAGACTGATTGAATTCCCCATCGATTACGGAAGGTAGACGCAAATTTCCCTTTTGGGGATTATTGTGGTGGAAGTCGCCACAAATATATAGCCGCAAATAAATATAGGGTTTTTTAAGAAATAAAACTGATAAAGTTTAATAATAGTAACATTTAATTTACTCTAATAAATTGTAAAATTTAATTCATTAATAAAATTTTTCTTGTTCTAATAGAGGTGAAAGAGTTGATAGGAAGGGTGTTTTCAGAACAACTAAAGATATGTAAGTGAAAAATTTTGAAACTATGTCTATTGATGAAAAGTGTTGATCAAGCCAGCTATTTCACATATTTAATATCAGTAGATGATTTTACGATGCAATAGAAAAGTAATTATATAAAAAACAAGTAATATAAAAAGAATTTTAAGGCAATTCCTATTTAGGTCAACAAAGAGAAATTTTATTTTAGCTACTTTTTATTAAATAGTCACAATTAATATAAATATATATATACATATGACAGAATTACAATATTAAGTGACAAAATAGAAAGAGATTTTCCTTTTTATACATGGTGTTGGACTATTTTTTCTTGTTTGTTACTATTTATTCATTCACTAAATTTAATTATTCTAATAAAATAGTATAGCAAAAAAGAAATCACATTCTCAAAAATTAAGACCATTTCAGAAGGGATTTGAACCCACAACTTTTGGATCAGAAGTCCAACGCGCTATGCATTGCGCTACAGGGAGACAACGGACGATTTTCCTTCCTATATATGCTGTTGAACTATTATTTTTGTTACTGTTTATTCATTGATTAAGTTTAACTAATGAATCAATATTTGAAAAACTATATTAACATCAAGTGTCATCCACTACAAGTTTTTAAAAATGTATTTAAATTTGAATGGATGAATAGAAAGTATTTTATTCACGATTGCAAATTTGAACAAGATATACACATATATACACATATACATATACACATATACACATATACATATACACATATACACATATACATATACACATATACACATACACATATACACATATACATATACACATATACACATATACACATACACATATACACACATACACATATACACACATACACATACACATATACACACATACACATACACATATACACACATACACACATACACATATACACACATACACATATACACACATACACATAAAATATACACACATACACATACACATATACACACATACACATACACATATACACACATACACATATACACACATACATATACACATATACACACACATACATATACACACACATACATATACACACATACATATACACATACATATACACACACATACATATACACACACATACATATACACACATACATATACACACACATACATATACACACACACAAAATATATACACATACACACACACACACACACACACACATACATACATACATACATACATATAATTCAATCACAACACAGGAATCAATATAAGGAAAAAAAAAAATCGAAACTAAATGAATCCTATAACATAAAAATCCCATTTCCGAATAACAATGGCGAATATAGAAAGACAAAATTCTAACGTTTTCAAACAAAATTAAAAAAATTTTATAAAATAAAAATATATAAAATATATAAAATATTCAAGTGCAACCTCGGACTTAGGACCGATAAGTGGGGTTAACTAGTTTGATGGCGCCAACCTTCCCCCTATTGCAACTTGGTAAATTAATCTTAAAATATCCAATTCTCAAAAATTTAAAAATTAAAAATTTAAAATTTAAAATTTAAAAATTAAAATTTAAAAATTAAAATTTAAAATTAAAAATCTAAAAAATTTAAAAGTTAAAAATTAAATAGTTAAAATTAAACCATTAAACTTGAAAAATTAAACTATTCGCCATCGCATTCTGAAAGATATTATATTAAAATATTAAAATTCTAAAACAAATAATTGCATAATGTAAGTGAACTCTCAAACACCAAAGATGACGCACTCATCCTTAGGTAGAAAAATGTCTAAAATCCGAAAGTTCAAATTAAAAACCAATTATTTTCACAAATGAATAGCGTAAATCATTAAAAACTCACCAAAAGCATTCTATCAATAATTCAATTCACAAACTCTGAAAAGATTTTTTCTCTAATATTCAATACAACAATTACCTCTCCTATATTCTGCTCACAACACCCACTAATGCCATGTCAATCCAAATGATTCATAATCTCACACCAGTTCAATCATTCGGTATTAGATGCAAATCAGATTGCATGCAAAAAAGTTGCTTGATTGGTCATAAACGTTTGATTGGTCATAAATAATTTTAAAGTGTAGTCGTGTAAACATTGGTCTATGTGTATACTATAATGTATTCTGTGTGTGGAATGCACAAATTCTTCACGCTGGACCACTAACAAGCTGACTTTGTGGCCCCTAATGTTGTGTGGTGGATTTGTGCATTTATGAGTTAAAATTTTTTTAAGAAATATTTTGATCTATATATTTTTCTAAAGGGTTGATGGGATAATCATTCTGTATGCAACAAAATATAAATTTCTGGATGTTCTTGAATTTATCAATATTGTGTGTCGTTAAATTATTATTTCTCATCAAAAAATTTAAAATTATATTTCTAAATATTGAAATATGTAAGCAGCTATTGAAGTTCGGTATCTTTATGACATTGAAGTTAAATGCTTCCCTCTTTTATCTATATATATTCTTCCCTTATATATATATATATATATATATATATATATATATATATATATATATATACAAACTAAACTAAACTCAGTGGCGCAACTGCCCATGACGGCCAAGGCCCACTGTGGCTATCTCAGTATTCGTGACCTAGGGCACTGAGGTGCATGAACAGATGTCCCAATCAGGTGGATATATATATATATATTCACCTATTTTTTCTTATTATGTCAAAATTTCTGCTGTTCGGGGAAGGTTTGATGCATAAAGCATTGCTAACCCTAAATCCCTGGCCTAATTTAGCGACAGCTTTAGAAATCATAATAGGTCTCCAGTTTAGTCCGAAGACTTTTTTGTATGTACATTTGTTGTGTCTGGTGAATTCCAATTTCTTCCTTCTTTAGCACTGTAGGTTCTAGTACTTCTTCCCTTTTATTTTATTATACTATATATATATATATATATATATATATATATATATATATATATATATATATATATATATATATATATAGGGAGAGAGTGAGTGAATATTAACGTCGCACTGTTCAGCTACACGAAGGCTTTTGGCGACGGACCACGTAATTTTGAATCATGGTCAAGTAACGTGGACGACACCTGAGCTGGCAGCCCCTCTCTCCTAACTACCACATCACACCAACGGGAGGACGTTTCAGCTCTCAACAGATTTAACGTGCATCGCTGCCCTAATGTTAATGTCTTATAGGGAGAGAGTGAACTATGATAGTAGGAATTGAATAAAAAAAATGTTAAATAATGTTAGTTCATAGCGATGTTTAAAACGTTTGACTACTATATTTCTCTTCTTTGCTTGTCCCTGTAAAAACAAATTAGAAATAAATTACAATGAAACGAAAAATAGCTCTCTCAAATTTTTAAAATTGTGTGTAACTTAAACCTACTTCTTTTTAAGTATCTGTTTAAGATTTTAAACTATAATGATTTTCATATCATTCAGAAAGATAAAAAAAATTAATTTACTTTTAATTCAAAATTTAAAATAGTAATGTCATACTGAATTAATAAATTAATGACACAAACACATAACCAGAAATTGTTGCGTAATAACGCTGCATAATTAATTATGACATTCTATTGCATAATTTGACCGGTGAAGTTTTGAAAAAAGTATTCAGACTTATTGCATTAAACATCATGAAATCTGAGTGTTTTTGAGAAGCATAGACATATGTGAGCAATTATTTTTTAAAAAAATAGACATCTATTTATATAAAGGAGAAAAGAGACTCACTCACTCTTCATGATATCTCCGAAACTACTAGACCTACAGACTTGAAATTTGGTAGGCATGGGTAGAGACCCGCTAAGAACGAATTTTGTGAAATTCACCCCGCGAGGAAGGTAGAGGGGACTTAAGGGGCGCTAAAGATAAATACTCCTATTTTTGAGCTTATAGACTACAAACTTGGAATTTGGTAGGCATGTTCCTCTCATGGAGTAGAGATCCGCTAAGAACGAATTTTGTGTAATTCAACCCGCGAGGAACGTAGAGGGGACTAAGGGGCGCTAAAGATAAATATTCCTGTTTTGAAATTGAAATTTGGTAGGCCCGTTCCTTTCACTAATTACAGGTCCTCTACAAAAAAAATTTTGCAAAAATTGACCCACAAGGCGAATTGTGATGGCTTAAGGAGGGCGGTACAGATAAAAAGAATTCCTGTTTTTGAACTGTTAGATTCACTTACTTGAAATTTGGTAAGCATGTTTCTTTTGATGATCAGAGATACACAAAGAACAGATTTTACGAAAATTGACTTCTATGGGGAGAGTGTGGAGTTATTGGAACGTATAGATAAAAAAATCCTGTTTTCGTACTCCTAGACTTACTGTAATGAAATTTGGAATGCATATTTTGTTGTTGAATTTAAATCTGCTTAGAACGGGTTTTAGGGAAATCATTTCTCAAAGGGGGTTATGAGCTTATCTATAAAAAAAATTCCGCTTTTCAAATACTAAGTTTGGACTTTAAATTTTTAAATTTGGCACGGATGCTTCTTTTATTGTATAGAGATCCACTAAAAATGGATTTTGCTGAGATGCACTTAGGGGGAAAGAGGAGAGAGTAGCGGAAGCAAAAAGATAATTTTACTTCAATTTCAGAAATTCAAGTCCTGTTCTTTTTAAATCAAGAGGTGAGATTTATGAGAATGTTTTTCATTACATTCGAAGAACATCATGAACTACGCAGCGAAGAGAGCGGGTAATAATTCTACACTGCTGGCCACCGTAAATGCAACACCCGGAAGTAAGCATGTAAATAACATGAAATTTACAACATGCATTAGCGGAGATGAGATATGCAAATGATTAGAATTTCAGCGCAGCATACATCACGCGCGCCTGTGGCGCCACCTCAAAGTGCTATTTAAGGCTTGGAGATTTCGACGATTTCAAGTTCGGCAATTGTGTTTTTCTTGTGGTTTTTTCAAAAAACGATCAGTTATGTCTCGTAGAAAGCAGCGATCAGCTTTTGATCAAGTATCCGAGTTCGACAGAGGAAGGATAGTGGCCTACCGAGATTGTGGATTATCTTTCAGGAAAATCGGTAGTCGTGTTGGACGAAACAAAACAACTATAATGCGGATATGTGACCGTTGGATGCAGGAGGGTACGACGGACCGACATGGTGGATCGCATCCACCTCATTGTACCACTTCACGTGAGGACAGGCAAATTGTGCGCATGGCAGTGACGGATCGCTCAGTCACATTACGAAACATAGCACAGTACATTGAGTCTGTAACGCATCATTCAGTGTCTGCGCGTACCATTCGACGCCGTTTACAGCAGAGAGGTCTGTCCGCAAAACGTCCATTGCTTGGTCTACACTTGACGCAGAACCATAGACGTCTCCGCCGCCAATGCTGCGATGAAAGAGGATGTGGGTGGCAGAATGGAATGAAGTTGTCTTTACTGACGAGTCACGCATCTGTCTACAACACCACGATGGTCGGATTCGAGTCTGGAAACACC